GTGCAGATAGTTTTAAACAGATAGTGCTGTACTTTTTTCACTTGTTCGTGTGCACTGAAAGACGTCACCTTTCTTTTAGTGTGAGCCCCACCCCACATTGAACGCTGGACGCTAGAACCCTGCCACGGGCTGTCTCAGGCTTCCATCATAGGGAGAGGAGGCTGGCGCTTGGACGGCTGCTTTGTGCTACTACATCTGGTGAGACGCCATTTAGCTAACATTAGCGACGACATTACGTTTTCAGATGTTGTTGATTAACGTCCCTTAAAGGTGGGGTATGTCATTTATTTCAGAAACACTTATTGTTATATTCCATGGAATGCTCTTAACATCCCGATAGCAATGCATATGAAATGCTTTGACAATAAATACATACAAAATGTTCATCTGTGGAAGCCGTAGCGCTGTAAAAAGCACGACCAATCATTTTAGCCGGCCCGGCTAAAATAGCTGGATGGCCTACCTGCCTGTCAGCCTGAGAGGGGTCTGCCTGCAGGCCTCCACTCTCAGGACACCTCCACTCTCACGGAGGTGATGAGTCCGCTCACCATGCACTTTGGGTCGGCCTTGGTCAAGCCCTTTTGAACCCCCCATCCTGGTTCTCGTAAAAGTTGACTTAGCCATTTTTCGCTCAAATGACACCATGGAGGAATGTAACGGGAGTTGACAGGGGACTCTGCCCGCCTCACGAGTGCCTATTTTCGGACCCTTTTTTTTCACTTTTCCCCCTATTTCCCCGGTTTTATACATTTTTCTTTTTTTGGCTATTTCACCCGGTTCCTTCTAACGGGGACATAGCCCGGTCTCGGGTGTCCCCCCACGGCCTGTGTCCAGCCGTTTCCCCCCCCCCCACTCATCCATATATTAACGGATTTTGACAATTCTTATTGCATTTTTCTCCTCTCCTCTCACTGATCGAATGGCAAACGCGACCCACCATCGGAGGTCCTCCACCGGCCCGGCCTAGTGCCGGTGCTCTGGCGGTCGGTACCTCCGAACTGCGGGTTCGACTCTGATGGCCGGGAGGGTGTGCTGCGTTGGGGTGGGGGACTTCCCCCACTCTGCGTGTCTCTTCCTTCCCGGGCCGGCCGATATGAAGCGTGACCAAGACGCACCGTCTGACTCAGGGGTCCCACCACGGGTCCCGCAGCGGGGTGAAGGTTCCCGGCTGGAACCTCCCCACCCCCGCCGCGGTGCACCCGGCAAACACGGTTGTTTCTCGAACTCCACTGTTGTCTAGCGGGTGTAACTAAAATACAAGATGTCGTTATTTATATATATATATAAATAACGACGGGGGGGGGAGGCGCTCGTGAATTGTTACGGAGAGAGAGGGGTTTTACGTTGCCATAACGCTGTTGACGGTCTTATTATACTTCCATTGGTTGGTTTTGTGGCACATTTTGTAACGCTGTGCAAACTTGAGCGCACACAGGGTGGAGTGAGGTTGAGCGATGGAGAGAAAGGGAGAGAGAGAGAGAGAGAGAGAGATTGAGCAAGGCAGAGAGCGTGTGCAGCGGTCTGCTTGCGCACAGAGCAGGAGTTAGTGAGAGAGCCGGCTTGAGAGTCAATTTATCTTCAAAATATAATTGATTGCCAGCCTCCCTTGTCCCTGGCTGGCTTGCTTGCTCGTTGGTAACGTAACTGATTTCTTCTAATGTGCTGAGTTGCCATATTCATTTGGTGAGCTCTTTTTGTTCGTGAACCACTTCCTGATATCCATTGTTGCAGATAAATATAAATGATAATAGCCAAACTAACCCAAATCCTGGATGGGCGGGCCCGGCCCCATGGGGCCCGCCCATGACGCCGGGTCTGAGTGTCAGTACGATTTTATTTTGTATTTGCGTGCATTTCCTGTTCGGAATGTGGCGCTGTACTGATAGTGGCGATTTTATTTTGTAATTCTTAACAGTCACTGTTCATAAAATACAATAAATCCGAAAAATACATATCTTTTGGCCATTTTGCTGGTAGATAATTGTAGTTCTGCACTATACACTGTAATGTGAGGTTATGTGTCTGTTTAGTCCTTCCTCCGGCGTGCAGGTGCGAGGGAGACAGTTCGAGAAAATGTAAAATGTTTATAATGTTCTGGAATAGTTTTGTGCACACACTACAAAGGGTAAAGATCAAGGGAAAACAGGTTCAAACTGTGTGTGTGTGTGTGTGTGTGTGTGTGTGTGTGTGTGTGTGTGTGTGTGTGTGTGTGTGTGTGTGTGTGTGTGTGTGTGTGTGTGTGTGAGAGAATTAAAACAATTCCACATGTCCTTCACAATAAATAAGCCCCATGGAGTTTCAGGTTGAACAAAAATATCCTTATATTTTTTTTTTACTCATTGAAAATGGAAATCGGGTCACCCGAACACCAAATATGTTGTAGGTGAATAATGAAGATTGTCTGCATCAAATGTTCACAAATTCATGGCAGCCAAGCTACATACAAAACCATATTTGGTGCACAATTTGCAACTAGTACTTGTAATGTACAGATCCAGTTATGGCGTCTGACGTAAGGCCAATTTAAGGCCCAGATTGTCCTTTTATTTATTACTTTTGGTTTTTATGTTGTATGATGCTTTTCATTATAAACAGTGGAAGCTACTTTTTGGTGGACGATGTAGAATTATATGTCAATCTCTTTATTTCTCTGTTAGGATGCGGCTGATAAGGAGGTGTACAGTCAAACTCCACTGGGAATCCTCTGTGTCGGAGAAAATCCTCAGCTCAACCCATCCAGTGTGGCAATCGTCTTGGAGGGGAATGTGGTGATGGATGGACCGGCTAACCTGCCTCAGGCCTTCTGTGTCCTGTTCGGACTCATTTATGCCCTGCAACTGGAGTACCCAAAGTGCATGAAAAACACTTTCCACTTTGTTCAGCAGGTAAACCTTGGTAAAGTTGAGCTGTCACCCAAAACTCAGACTTTGAAAAATCAGCTTACATTGTGAAACGGGGTTCTGAAAAGTTGGCTACTGTTACATATGGCAAATATTTAGGCTTCAATATTGCATTTTGTTGTTGTTGTTGCATGTTTGCACTGTTTGACCTATTAAGCTTGTTAGCATTTCCATTTGTGTTTTATTCTATAAACTACTGACAACATCTCTCCCAAACTCCAAACAAAACAAAGAAGTCATTTAGAGCATGTATTTGCAGAAAATTACAACTGGTCAGAATAACAGAGAAAATGCTGTGTTTTCAAACCTCAAATAATGCAAAGAAAACAAGTTCCTATTCATTATTAAAGGTGGGGTAGGTCATTTTGGAGAAACCAGCTCGAGTGCGTAGAATTTGAAAATACACAACCGGAGAAAATCTGCCACTTCCTTACAGAGCCCCTCCTCGAACACACACGAACGCGCACATGACCAATGAGGGCACGAGATAAGTTTGTGCACAGATGGAAGGCTGACAGGCAGGTAGGCCATCCAGTTATTTTAGCCGGGCCGGCTAAAATGATTGGTCATGCTTTTTACAGTACTACGGCTTCCACAGATGATATTTTTTTATGGATTTTTTGTCAAAGCACTTAAGATATGCATTGCTATCGGGATGTTAAGAGCATTCCATGGAATATAACAAAAAGTGTATCTCGAGCCGGTTTCTCAAACTTACCTACCCCACCTTTAAACAACACAATACTAATGTTTGAACTTAGGGAGAGTTCAGAAATCAATATTTGGTGGAATAACCCAGATTTTTCAATAACAGCTTTCAATGCGTCTTGGTTGTTCGCCACCAGTCTGTCACATTGTTGCTGGGTGACTTTATGTCTCTCCTGGCACACAAACTCAAGCAGCTCGGCTTTCTTTGATGGCTTGTGACCATCCATCTTCCTCTGGATCACATCCAGAGGTTTTCAGTGGGGTTCCAACTGTTCCATGACAGGGTCTTGATCTGGTCTTCCTCCATTCACACCTGAATTAAGCTGAGGGTGGGTTTATCCAGCAGGACAATGCTCCATGCCCCACAGCCAGGTCAATCCAGATGTGATCCAGAGGAATATGAATGGTCACAAGCCATCACACAAAGCCGAGCTGCTTGAGTTTTGTGCCAGGAGTGGCTTAATAAGTGACCCAACATCAATGTGAAAGGTGGTGCAGAGCAGCCAAGACGCATGAACGCTGTGATTGAAAATCTGGGTTATTCCACCAATTATTGATTCCTGAGCTCTTCCTATGTTAAAACATTAGTATTGTGTTGTTGAAAAATGAATTTTAAATTGTTTTCTTTGCACTATTCGAGGTCTGAAAACACTCCATCTTTTTTGGTTACTTTTTGGTATTTTTTGTAAATAAACGCTCTAAATGAGAATATTTGGAGTTTGGGATAAGTCAGTCATTAATTTATAGAATAAAACACAAATGTTAATCCAGTTTTTACCAATAGTAAAACGAGAGAAACTGATCATTTTACAGAGGTCTCTTAATTTTTTCAGAGCTCTACATAAATATATAGATCTATATATTTTTATATATAGAAAGACTACTATACTTTCATGTTTCATGTGAAAAATGTTCTCAGGAAAATGTATGGTACAATATTTTTGCCACAGTTTGTATAGGAAGCTCAATTTCATTGTATCCAAATGAAACACTCAAGTTTTAATAAAAGGTAAAACTTTATTTTTGTGTGTTTTTCTTTTTTGTAGTTGACGGAATAAAAAATATAAATACGAAATGTAACCACTTTCAACAAAAAATTCTAAGTTAAATAATTGGGCAAAGCAATTGATATTACACAATATTTTAAGTAAAATCAACTTCACATGAAGTGCATTTTACTTCAAATAACAATTCAAGTCCTTGATAAATGTAAGTTTAATTGACTCAAGTTTTCATAATGCTTTACTTACATTTTTAAAGGCAACCACTTTCCTCTATTTTTTTAAGTAGATTCAACTTATCCGGGCTTACAGTGTACCTTGAGATTTCTTTAAATCAGATTGTGGTTCTAACAGAAGTATTCAGTGTGTTTGAGATTTGTAGGAAACTCACCAGAGATTCTGCTGTTTGTTGAGAAAAACCTGAGATCGTTGATTCTCCTTCAGAGAGAAACAGAGAGACACAGAGAGAAACAGAGAGAAACAGAGAGAAACAGAGAGACTTGTCTCCACTGCAGCCTGCGGTCTGAGAGAGTAATCTACATCATCTTTGATTTGAAGATGTGGTATTAAAGCACACAAGATCAGATAAGAGAAATAAAAAAATACAGAGTACAAACTTCAAGATCCACCTCACAGTTTAAGTTAATGATCCTTTTTTTATGTATCAGAACAAGGTGGGTTAGTTTTCCTTAATTCCTTACAGGGCAAGAGAGAGCTGAAGGAAGGGAGTCAGCATTCAACACTTCCTGTTGCCTCGTCATGAAGTCAATGGGTTTTTGTTCTGTTTTTGGTATGAATAAAATATCGTAAATAATTATAAAAAACAGAAGAAAGTCAGTGCACTAAATGTGACGTTAGAAGAGATCCCAGTTCTGGTTTTCCTTAAAGATTAGTCCTACTTTGAGATTTCTTTAAATCAGATTGTGGTTCTAACAGAAGTATTCAGTGTGTTTGAGATTTGTAGGACACTCACCAGAGATTCTGCTGTTTGTTGAGAAAAACCTGAGATCGTTGATTCTCCTTCAGAGAGAAACAGAGAAAGAGAGAAATGCTGTCTCTGATCAACTGTTCACCTTTATCTGAAGACGTGACATTAAATTACTGAACACAAAAAGAAGACGGACCGGATCACACCTGTGACGTGCATATTTGTGACTTGGTATGAAGAATATGCAACCACTGTCAATACAATCAAGAGCCAAAATCAGCAGAGCCAACACACTCTCACTCCATAAACGTCCAGGAGCGACGCTTGGTCAGGGTCCCGAGGCGTGCAGTTGGGACGCTCCTAGGCTCCTTCAGACGCAATAAACGGACGCAAATAGCTTTCAACTGATTGCAATGTATTCCCATCTGCGGCGGGATTTGACGCTCATGGAAGCACGGCATTCGTTTGTGTCGGCGGCTGTTAAAGGCAATGTGAGCGTCCATTCCCATTGGATAACGGAGAATTGTACACCCGGAAGTAAGTATTCTCCTTACTGTCGATTGATTTGACAGTGATATCTGCACTACTCATCAACTCAAAAACACCAGATTATCCTTGTTAATTAAACGACATTGATAGGTTTTAGTGTGTGTACAATGCTTTTGTCACGTTTTCCCCTTCAATTCTGAGAAACAAGTCGTTTTCTATGAGTTTTGGATGGCCGAAGACATTACATTACCCACAATCCTCTGTAGCAACCATAGACTGTATATTGCAACAGGAAACAGCTTCGGTTCATGTTAATTTGCAAACTCTTCAACTACAACCGTAGTTATATTTAAAAACATGTTAGAAGGCCTTACGAAATACTTTAATGTAAATTTAAATTTAAATGAGAAGGAATGTGTGTATAACAAAATACATCGTTCATAAACTAAACCGGAAACAGACGTAGGCAAGATCCTCAGCTCGATGATTGGATGGGTTAGCCGCAATGCACGCTGGGATTTGGTGTTTATGCGATGTGAAATCCGAAAACATTTAAAAAAAATGAAATACATTATTCCGAGTGTGCTTGCTTTTCTCTTTGAAAGTCATCACATAACGGCATTGTAATACACGTTTCGGCTGTATTAAATATTACATATCTGCCGTAGTTGTCTATTTATAGAGCCCTGATGAGAAGACAAACAGGAGAAACTGCCGCCAAAACTGAAAACTTGACTTGGATCTTAAATATATAAGCAATCTCAGGACCCTAGTTGTTTTGCAACATCGCCACCTAGTGAGCAGGAGACATGAATATGAACGACAACGCAGAGAGTGTGAGTAGTGTGAAGTGCTTTTAAAGTTTTATTTGTTTAACATTAATAACAATTCCGGTGTCTTGAAATGAAGTGTGATTAGCTAACATTAACTATGATAGTCTTAAGGCAATACAAACAAACATCTGTGACACGATGGGCTCTTAAGAACTCAGATGCTCGATTCCATTGCTTTGTAATATGCTTTATTATTAAGATCACAAAGCTTTTCAAAGTCTTCTAGGATCTACTAGGACATTCCATAGAATCCTTAGGTTCGACTAGGTATTGACAACAGGTCTCTGGTAACAGGCATGGATCTCATGATGAGACAAGACGAACCAACACAAGACAAAGGGAGAGAAGGACTATATATATATATATATATACACACACACACACACATTAGGTAATGAGGCACAGGTGGACACAATCAGGGGCGGGAACAACAATCAGTCTGACCGGTGACACACAAAGACAGGAAGTGCAGACACCTGGAAAGATAGAGTAGAGTCATATCAAAATAAGACAGATAGACAAACACTAAAACCAGAACAACTAACAGGATACTAGTGCTAAAATCTTACAGTACCCCCCCTTTTACGGACGACTCCAGACGTCCCTGAAACCTGAGACCGTAGTCTGTCAAAATCCGTGATCAGAGTTTTGTCGACAATGAAGCTGCCCGGGATCCAGCATCTTTCCTCTAGTCCATACCCTACCCAGTCGACCAGGAACTGTCTCCCTCTACCCCGCTTTCTTTCTGACAGTATCTTTTCCACTGTATAGACGATACCTCCGTCGATGACCCGAGGAGGTGGAGGTGGTGTGGAGGAGGGAACCAGTCTACTCTCTAAAACTGGTTTCAGCTTGCTGACATGGAACGTGGGGTGGACCTTGAGGGACTTTGGGAGACATAGGCGAACAGCAACAGGATTAATAACCTTTGAAATGGGAAATGGACCAACGAACCGGGGAGCCAGTTTCCTGGAGGCGACATGAAGAGGAAGGTCCTTGGTGGACAACCACACTCGTTGTCCGACCTTGTATCTAGGAGATGGACGTCGTTTTTGGTCGGCCAAACTCTTCATGCGGGTCGCACTTCTCTGCAGCATCTGGCGAACTCCCTTCCATACCCGGCGACAGCGGCGAACCAGAGCATGTGCTGATGGTACGGTAACTTCTTGCTCGAGTTCCGGGAACAATGGAGGCTGGTATCCATGGACACATTGGAAAGGAGAGATTCCGGTGGCTGATGTGGGTAAGGTATTGTGTGCATACTCAACCCAGATCAGATGTTTGCTCCAGGTGGTAGGCTTCTGGGACACCAGGCATCTCAGGCATGTCTCCATTTCCTGATTCATCCTCTCCGCTTGGCCGTATGACTGGGGATGGTATCCGGATGTCAGGCTCACAGTGGCTTGGATCAGGCGACAAAACTCCCTCCAGAAACGTGAAACGAATTGTGGGCCTCGGTCTGAAACGACATCACTTGGGAAACCATGTATACGAAAAACATGGGACAACATGGCCTGTGCAGTTTCTTTGGCAGTAGGTAATTTGGACATGGGGATGAGATGTACCATCTTGGAAAAACGATCAATGACTGTGAGTACTGTGGTATTACCTGCCGAAGGTGGAAATCCTGTCACAAAGTCCAACGCAATGTGCGACCATGGTCTGTGGGGAATGGGCAGAGGTTGGAGAAGACCTGCCGCAGCTTGACGAGATGTCTTGTTTCTAGCACACACAGGACAAGCTGCCACATACTCTGCAACATCCTTCCACATAGCAGGCCACCAGAATCTGTGTTTCACCATAAAAAGGGTCCTCTTGGTTCCAGGATGACAGGAAAGAACAGATGTATGGGCCCAATGAATCACCTGAGAACGAAGTGTCCTAGGAACAAACAGGCGATTCTGAGGACAACCTCTATGGACAGGATTCTCTCCATTAGCCTGTTTTACTTTTGCTTCAATGGGCCAGGTCGATAAGACAGAGTGAAGCTAAATCTGTTAAAGAATAAAGCCCACCTGGCTTGTCTGGAGTTCAAACGCTTTACCCTCCTGATGTACTGCAAGTTTTTATGATCTGTCCATACCAGGAAATCCTGCTCCGCTCCCTCCAACCAGTGCCGCCACTCCTCCAAAGCAATCTTCACAGCCAACAGTTCCCGATTTCCCACGTCGTAATTCCTCTCAGCAGAAGATAGCTTACGGGAGAGATAGGCACACGGATGAAGTTTATTGTCCCCCGCTGACATCTGAGACAGTATAGCTCCAACGCCATCGTTAGAGGCGTCTACTTCCACCACAAACTGTCGGTTGCGATCAGGTACAGTCAGGATAGGAGCTGTGGTGAACCTCCTCTTCAGATCCATGAAGGATTTCTCTGCCTGTGGATTCCACACAAACTGAACATGGGGAGAGGTAAGGGAATGGAGAGGAGAGGCAATGGCACTGAAATTGCGTATGAAACGTCTGTAAAAGTTAGCAAACCCCAAGAATTGCTGAACTTTCTTTCCGGAGTTTGGCGTAGGCCAATTTGCCACGTCGCTGACCTTTGCTGGGTCCATTTCCATTTTGTTAGGGGAAATCACAAAGCCCAAAAATGACACTGAGTTGACATGAAACTCACATTTTTCGGCTTTCACAAACAAATGATTAGCCAGGAGTCTTTGAAGAACAAGATGAACATGGTTAACATGAGTATTCTCATCTGGAGAAAAGATGAGAATATCATCGAGATATACAAAACAGAAAACATTCAGGAAATCTCTTAACACATCGTTAATGAGAGCTTGGAAAACAGCAGGTGCATTACAAAGTCCAAAAGGCATCACCAAATATTCGTAATGTCCCGTAGGTGTATTGAAACCTGTTTTCCACTCATCCCCCTCCCGGATGCGCACAAGGTGATAAGCATTCCTTAAGTCAAGCTTGGTGAATATCTTAGCTCCTTGTAACAGTTCAAATGCCGTAGAGATGAGTGGAAGGGGATATCTGTTCTTAACCGTGATCTGATTTAGCGGACTATAATCAATACAGGGCCTCAATGTCCCGTCCTTTTTTCCCACGAAAAAGAAACCTGCCGCTGCTGGGGATGAAGATGTCCGAATCAAACCAGTTTTGAGTGAAGAATCGATATATTCCTTCATGGCCTCCCTTTCTGGCCCAGAAAGAGAGTACAGCTGTCCCTTGGGAATAGTAGAGCCCGACAGAAGTTCTATGGGACAATCGTACGGTCTATGGGGAGGCAATGAAGTAGCTCGTGTTTTGTTAAACACCTCCTTAATGTCTG